GAAATAAAATTCTGGTTCAAGTTTTATGACTCTTAAAATTGCATTACGTACCACACTGTAATTGCGGGCTTGGAGGGTAAGACGCATAAGTGCAGTTTTTGCTATTTTGAGAAAAACGTGTTCGATGTTTCAAAATTCCATGGAGCCTTATAGCGGAAAGGAAGTTTAAGCTCACTTTTTAATGCTTTAAAGTTGGATTTCAGTCGGGTATTTTTCAAAGAATATACTTTCAAACTAGTTTTCGTCGAGTTCATGATAATCTTATCTATTTCAAAAACCATTTTTATGCGCTCTGTCCCTCAAGCTCCTCCTCAATCGTGGGTAATTATCAGGCTCTTGATCAAGCGTTTAATCTCATATACTTCTTCACAAAAACGTTTTGTTGAGCGAGATATTAATTGCGCATTTCGAAATAACGTTGGATGTGGATAGTGAATATTGAGTCCGTGAAAGTAATTCAAGGTTCCGCGAACACTTTTAAACAAACTGCACGTGCCCGTGAAAGTTAGGTTTCGTAACTGGACGGAAGTTGGTTCGCGGAAACTTGGGGGGAAAGGTGGAAATGATCGCTCACTGCTTGATTTTTTCCCATCTTTCTCTTTTCAGGGTGACTGCGTAGTTGAGGAAGCGAGTTAGCTGCGACTAAGCATGGAAATGCACTAGAAACCCGCTCGCCGGGCGCAGTGAGTCAGCAGCATTGAACTTCAAGTCGCGTCAAGGTTGGGAAAACAGGGTTTCCCACTTCAATAAATTAGTGAGTGCCTCTCAGCAAAAGGGACACGGTGTTCTCATTGCAACAAATGAACTCCGTAAAAAAAGTCACTCCCATAAAAGTTCAAATGCTTTACGTGCTGTTAGGAATCAGTGGCGCGGCATGCTTTGCAATACATCGATTGATCTGGCATTTAAGCCTACGGAAAAAGGTCGATAAACAGGATTTTCGCAACGAACACCTTATTTTGGTTTCGCCACTGGTAGGAATGGAAATGCGTGTCTCCTCATCAATTGATGAAGCCGATGGGAAAAACTTAGGGATCCAAAGTAATCTCGTTCCCGAGATATCATCAGGTGGCGTGGCGTGCTTTGCGATATATCGATTGATCTGTCATTTAAACTTATGGAAAAGGATCGATAAAGAGGGTGTCCGCAAGGAACGCCGATCTTTTATCATAGCTGCAAATGGGGAAATATCGATAATCGATCGTTCACGCTTCGCCACTGCTTTCATCCCAGCAAATCATATTACCCCCGCCCCCGCCTCGCTTGACGAAAACTTTAGTTTCAATCCAGCCATTTGTTTGGTTAGTAAAAATTGAAACTTCAATGCTTCACTCAGGATTGCAAAGTGACAAATGGGAGAGTGGCGAGATTAATCGGAATTAACAGCCAAGTATGTGCATTCCCCTATAGACGCATTTAGTGATGACGTCACGGAGCGATATTGTTGGTTCGATATCTCGAAAGTCGAAATGTGCCCCAACAAACAAACACATAACCTCCAAAATGAACAATTGATGAAAGAATGCTTTAACCAGCCCAAAACTGTGATATTAATCAATGAGACCGTAAAATTATGAAAGCTAGTTATTTTCCAAAACGTTTGAGACCACATCCACACGAATTGATAATGTAATAAGCTCGTGACATAGTACTCAGTCTTCGGACGAACGTTGTGTTCGTTTGTTGGGGCACATTTCGACTTTCGAGATATTGAAATTAAATCGAGATGTGACGTCACACTAAATGCGTCCATAGGTTGTCTCCTCATCACAATGCATGTGTTGGCTTAACGACGCCGTGGCACGCTTCGGCGCGCGGCAGGCGAGGGCGACCAGCGCGACACGCGCACTGGCGCCTACAAACCTAACAGGGATACTTCACGCATTGCGCGATGCGTGAAGTATCCCTGTTAGATTTGTAGGCGCCAGTGCGCATGCCGCGCTGGCAGCACGACGCGCGCCGACGGTGAGATTTTCAAACCACGTGTCTTGGTTCACGACGTTGCAGACGTCCCGTTATACCTACCTCATTTTTTTAAGTTGGATAACTATTCAACGTTGATTCTTAAAAACTTCCGTGATTTTCTTTCTTTGTGCGAGGAAAATTCTGTGGAAACTCCGAAGAATGATGTTAATTTGTTCTCCTTCAAAAAGATGAAATTAGAGTGGAGAATTGGACGTATTTATACTAAAAACAACTATGTCGCACGCAAAACCTATGCACATTGTTCCTTTCGGCATAAATACGTCCAATTGAAAACACCGCAAACGAGTTACGTAGTTCGGAAGTATCACCATCGATCAGTGGCGTGGCGTGAATTACGATATATCGATTGTTCTGCCATTTAAACCTATGGTAAAGAATCGATTATTAAGCTTTTCGCTGCGAACACCCTGTTTATCGATCATTTTCCATAGGTTTAAATGACAGATCAACCGATGAATCGCAAAGCACGCCACGCCACGCCACTGCGTCGATATGTGCCTAGAGTATATCTTTATAATTCTTCAATGCAACATAGCATGGTTTGATACATTAAATAAGTAGTCGCTATCTACTGCTTAAATATTAAGAAGTTTTACTGCAATGAAAAAGGTCAAGGTCTTACGTGTGCAGCTTCCTCATAAGAGTGTATGTGAGGCACTCTAAAAACTATATAATTAGACCTATGATTTTTGTAAATCCACAGCGTAGATCACAAAAGAGGAGGAAAATAATTGAAAAGGCACGATTAGCACACGAGAGAAAGCTGAGTTAGAATTGGCAGCAGCAACGCGCAAGTAGCTCGCCTTCAACGCTGCGGTTATACTTAAGCACCGCACAGACGTTGGAATAGTTGCTTCACGAACATGTAGTGTTGCACTGCGTGGGTGCTCGCACCTTTTGATTGCACCACCTTTCTTTGAGTGGAATATTTATTAATTTGTGTAAGTAAACGCACCGCGGTATAAGAAAAGGAAGATGAAAAAATTAGCTTTAGTAAACGAGAACAAATGGCCACAGCACAACAGTTTTAACACAAAATATTCTTAATTATTCTTGAATAGCATGCAACTCTGTTCACAATTATTTTTTTTTTCTTTTTTCTTTTTACTTTCTCGTTTTTTATTGGAGTGATCGGCAATCCACTTGATAAGTGTTCGGTACAATTTATGGTGAGAGGTTATAAGAGCGTGAAGGGAGCAGGAAGTCTAAATGCAATATTTCGTATTTTAACCTACAGACTTTCGTTGTTGTTGTTGGATTTTCATGAGATACTTTTCGAGAAAATTGCTGTAATATGCTCGCGCGCTAATTTTTCTTGTTTTTTGCCAAAATTCAGGAACAAAATCAGTGTTTTAGAAAAATTGTATCGATACATCGATGTTTCTTCACTTCCGGGGGGTCCTCTAGAAATAAAAAAAAATTAATAAAAAAAAGCTTGCTTCACATTTTATTTACGAAAAGATTTCGTGAAATTTCCGCAATATTGCAACCATGTGTCTTGAGGCTCTCGATTCGATTGGTTGCTCAAATGGTGAACTCAACAATTCAACATTCATCAAAAGAAATTTCGTGTCTGTACAAGTCTGTAGAAACTTTCATGTCACGAGGTGAAATGAACCATAAATATGAAAAAAGTTAAGTATTCAGTCTTGAAGAAAAGCAAAAGAGGTGCGTCGGATCAAAGTTTAACGTTTAAGTGGGGACATCAGCAAGAAGTGAACGAGTCATCATGGTTTATCCGTGTTGTTGTCAATTCGTTCAATGGTTTGTGAAAAGTTTATGCTTAAATTATCTTTTTTATAGTTTAGATGCACAATAAATAAGTTAATAATTTAAACTATCAAAGATTTAGACCGATTTTTGAAGCCTTAAAATTCTTGTTGATTGTAAGAATGTTTTTTTATTGTTGCATATTTTTGAGACATCAAGCTAACAATGTGATTTAATCTTACTCGGTGGGTGAGCATACAAGGTTGATAGCGTTCCATTTTCTAACCTCTAAAGCTAAAAAAAGATTTGATTTTCTTCACAATGTGAAGAGTTTAATCTTCACGTTAAGACCAATGAACAATCAATGGACCTTCAGACAAAATGCGTATTCTAACATTCTAATACATGTTTCCGAATTAAAATTTTGCGTATAACACAATCCGCACAAAGAAAATCACTGAAATCAACTCCTAACTGAGATATTAAAGTTTTTAGTCTACATTGGTTAGAGGAATTATGCATTCCCCGCTCACAAGAATAACAATGTATTCTACCCGAATCAAATCGCGCACTACAAACCGTTTAGGCAGTCATGATGGAGCAATGTTCTTTCCCTCCTTGTGTTGTTCAAAGTGTTAACAGCTAAGTGTAACGGCTAAGCCGAAGCACCGAGATTGTGGCTGCTATATTTTTATAGCGCAGACTGTTTTTTAGAGTGCAAATTGACTTGCGTAGACTTTCGTTTTTCTGTGAGCCGGGGGGTTTGAATTTACGCATTGAAAAACGTTAAATATCTTAGCTAAGGGTTGATTTCAGAAATTTTGGTTGCACGAATCGTGATCTGCGTGAAATTTTGATGTGTGCAAGAATACTTAAATTCTTACCCTGCTTGGTACTCCATTGTTTTCTATTCATATTTTAATTTCAGTACACAGAGGATGCGTTGTTTTTCTTTTTCTTTACTGAGATAGATTTAACAACGGTTTTAATTTTAACCACGCTAATGCATTGATTAATAATGATTTGTCAACTCATAAATTAATTATAGAACATCGCAATGAAATCAGAATAATTAATGAAGCCCCGGTATGCATTACTGTGGTGGATCATGTCATCCGCCTTATTCTTCGATGGTCATTGTCTCCGTATACGTGAAGCGTGGAAACATGGCCTTCGGACAGAAATCATTAATTTTTGATGAAAACTTTAACAATCAGAACTCGGTAGCGATTTTTGAAATTTGGCAACACTAATTTTCCACCATTTGAATCCATTAAAAATATCGATTTTAGATAAGGCAAGCTGCCTCGAGAATCGATTGTTTTACAAACGTTTAAATGGAGGAAAACCCGTGTTGCCAAATTGAAAGAATCGCCACTGTAAAGAACACGATTATCTGCAACAAGTGCCACTGATCCACATAACTGACCCCAGATTTTTCACCGAATTTTCATATAAGAAAAAAATTCGTTTTCCCCAAGAAAAATCTCGTTGCCAAATATTGTATGATATTGTTGTTGTGCTTTAGAGCGTGCAAACAAATTTCTAGAGCCACTTGGCAACTCGACGCTTAAATGAGCTACCGCGGGAAAGAAAGGAAAATAAATGTTTTCTTCGATGAAATATTTATCCTCTGCCTTCTATTTCTTCGACTTTGTGCCTAATTAGAGAAGATCCTGAAATAACGCGACTCGAGAGTTGGGGATATTTGTTATTCAAGAGACATTTGCTTTCCTCTAGAGTCAGGGAATTCAACAATTGCTCACAAAAAAAGTCACCAGAGTGCCCAAAATATCTCACAAGGCTAGTGCCTACATAAGGCGTAAAATAGAATCAAACTTACCGCCGCAGTTCTCATGGAGGATACTTTTATCGCTATAAGTAATTTTACTGACATATTTTGAAGTAAACGATATCTGCTCATGTTATTTATGATTGAATACATAGCGTCGGTGTAAGTCGGCAATCACGTATTCGTTTGCGGTGTCTGAAAATCTCCGCCTCTTTGTTATTTTTTTAAAGGAGAACAAATCGAAATCATTCCTTGAATCTTTTGAAGGCGAAATTGAAGGCGCGATGACGCGAAGCAAGAGCTCGAGCTCTCAACGCTCTGCTTATATGCTGTCAATGGGGTGTCGCTCAGATTCGGGAGAAAAGTTAAAAATGAAGCCCGAACACATCTTTGCTACCTTCGGCTGTGTTACTCACGTGGTGCTTGAAGCACCAATACGAATAAGACAAATGAAAACAAACAAAATAGAATAAAGCGTAATAAAGCGAGGGAAAGGATGCGCGTTATTGACGGCGCAGAGATACAACTATTCGTACTTGATGGACGTCCGTGCTGCATCTGAAAAATTGAAGGCGCGATGACGCGAAGCGTGAGCTCTCAATGCTCTGCTATATACTGTCAATGCGGTGTCGCTCATATTCGGGAAAAAAGTTAGGAAAGAGGCCTATATACGTCTATTCTGTCCTCGGCTGTGTTGAATCTCGTTCTTCCTTCTTTTTTCCAGGATGGATTTGCAGACCCACGTCTTGAGCTCGTGTGAACCGCAGCACTGGCTCGCTTCTTTTGCAAATAACGGTACTTGGATGCGTCTAGTGGCTTTGATTTTTTATGTTTTCTTTAATTTCACAAGTCTGTCGGTTACTTCAATACGTTCAATTTTGCAATTTTCACCCTGTATGATTAATAAACTTTGAGCCTGAAAATAACGTAAACCTGTACTGTTTTGCCAAAATTTTGGGCAAGCAGGTCTGGGAAGAAAGCCTCCTCATTTTTAAGTTCTTTCTATTTGATTTTTGAGTCCATAGTTCGTAGTTCGCTGGTCATTTGGTTCGCTTGGTTGGTTGTGGTCGTTGGGGTTCATAGATCCTCCTTTCTCATTTTTGTTTGTAGGCGTCGCGACTTTTTTTTCGGAGCATGTGCCCTATTGGGACGAAGTGGTCAATTCGGATGAGAATGAACACAGAGTTGCCAAAAAGTTCTCAGCATTTATATTCGGTCTTCTCATAGGACTATGTAAGTATAAGTTATTGTGATTATTCATTTAATGTGCACTCTGGAAACATAGGCGGATCCAGCAAGTTGGCAACACCGGATTTCCTCCATTTAAACCTATGTTAAATAATCGATTCTTTTTGGAGCACCTGGCCCCTCCGACAATCGATACATCTCCATAGGTTAAAATGGAGAAAAAACTATGTTGTCAATTTGCTGGATCCGCCAATGTCTAGAAAGCGCTATGAGTAGCCTCTCGTGATGCCACACGAAAGTTTTCAAAAAGCGGAAATGGACGTCAGAGATTGGCTTGGACCGCGTTATATTGAACAAGAAGAAACCAAGCCACATCAGCTACTGCCAAATTTATTTGGGCAATTTATTTTTTACATGAAAACGGTTGTGCCAATTTTTTCAGAAATTTCAGTAAACTTTCTGCATAGTGTGAAGAAAATTCCTCAAAAATTTCAAAAAAATCCGCACCAATGTTCGCTTGTAAAATATTGAATTGCTCAGTGAAATTTGGCGATGGCTGATGTGGCTTGGTTCTTTTCTGGTACGCGATCCACTCAGTTGTTCTCCATCCACTGATATCAATCCGTCGCCTACCTGACATAAGGGCGTAACTACACATTCAGATGAACCCGGGAAAGCACTGAGTTAAATGGACAACAGGGGTCATTGCGAAATGCAGTTACGCCCTTATGTCAGCCAAGCGACGAATCAACGTACAGTCTGGTCGAAAGTTAATGCGTAAATGTGAACCAAATCAAATACGGAAATAAGCCCTCTATATTATATTCTCAAAAAGTAAAAGTTTAAGTCTCTATGATTTTCGTTCCCTCCTTACTTGCAAACATTGTCACTTTATTTAATAAGTGGACATCTGATCTTGAAACATATTATTTCACATCAACGGACCTGCCTAAATTCTTCAATTTCAGATGCATTTTTAGGATTTTGAGACCACCACCTATCGTTCCACATCATGAATCGCCGACGTTCGACAGCTAATTAAAATTGTTTTAAAATTTAAAGTTAAAATTTTGCACACTATGCTTACAGTGCTTTACGAAATCATCGTGGTTGACTTGCAATTCGATGCGCTGACTGCTTATGTATTGGGAGCAAGTATTAGTCTAATATTGGCCTTCGGAAACGCCATTTCTTCGCAGGTATGTAGATAAAAAGTGTTCGACTCTGTAATGGCTCTCAACATAAAATGCTATAATTATTGGGGGAGCGGGGGGTGTACTGTACTACCCATGGTGGTATCAAAAATGAGTTCGCTCATACCCCAATCCATCGGAGTCTGGAACCTACCCACAATGCACGAGAGAAATCGTAATAGAGAGAAGAAAAACCTAGGGCCTCTTAGGGGCCCTAAGGGCCCCTAACTGGCCCTCTTAGAACTGAAAATAGTATCATATGCCCCCCCCAAAAAAAAAAAAAAAAATTCCAGATGTTTTGAATGCAACAATTCATAAGTATTTTGTGCTGAAAGTAGAAAAAAAAATTATTATTCCGCAGAAATTGAGGAAAAATATCTTTATGGAAGCTTCAAAATGCGTCCGATTAGTCGTATAAATTCTAAAATTTCTCGAGGGATGCCCCTCGGACCCCCCCCCCCTCCAAAGTGCTTGGGGCCCGGACCTTAAAACTGGTACCAGGGCCCGAGATGGGATGTGGCGGGCCTGCATGAAGGCTATTTCCATTTAAATCTTCCGCCACACTCATACGGCGCAATGATACAACTATTTGAACTCTCCGGAATGCGTGAGGTATCACGCCGCATTTGAAGGCGTTTGCAAATCAGCCAAGTTCCGATACCCGGATTATCGTTTAGCATAGTTCATATTATTTTGTTATCATTCTAACCACCTGTTTAATTATAATCCTCCTATAAAAATTCCCCATTTCATATATACAATTATAGCTGGAGCGCACTTAAGAGCATTCATGACTGCAAAAATGTTAACGGAAATCGAAAAGGCGAGCGTGCATGAAGGCTATTTCAATTGGAATCTTCCGTCGCATTTCTAAGGCGCTATGATACAACTATTTGAACTCTCCGGAATGCGTGAGGTATCACGCCGCATTTGAAGGCGTTTTCAAAACAGCCAAGTTCCGATACCCGGATTACCGTTTTGCATAGTTCATATTCTTTTGTTATATTCCGTACCACTCGCTTATTTTTAATCCTCGTACAAAAACCACCAATTCTTAAACACAATTCTAGCTGAAGCGCACCTCAGCTATGCATTCACCACTGCAAAAATTTCAGAGGAAATCGACAAGCCCATCGTGCATGAAGGTTATTTTAATTGGAATCTTCCGTCGCATTTCTAAGGCGCAATGATACAACTATTTGAACTCTCCGGAATGCGTGAGGTATCACGCCGCATTTGAAGGCGTTATCAAAAAAGCCAAGTTCCGTTATCGGAATAATCGTTTTGCATAGTTCATATTCTTTTGTTCTCATTTCTAACCACTTGTTTATTTATAATCCTCCTAATAATACGTCGCCCCTTTGACGAAAGGGCAAATCCTAATTTCCACGTGAGCCCTGTTTCACATGAAATACATTTTGCAATAAGGAACCACCATTTCTGGCTCAATTTAGAAACAACATATATGCCATTGGTTTCCTTATGCAGAAAGGTGCTTTTACGGAAGAGCCAGAGATAGTGGCTCCTTATTGCAAAATGTAATCCACGTATAAATCCATGCTTTCTGAGGAAATCAAGATTCGGCTTTACGGTCAGAAGAACGACTACAGAGGCTGAGTAGCACAAAGTAAAAGGAATTACAGCTCACACAATGTTCAAGTTTGATTTTCGGCACATTCTCCAGTCCTAGTCCAAATAATCGAAATAATTGAAGCGCTGGGTGCAAAGAGGGTATTTGGTTGCGGTGTCTTAGAATCTCCACTAACGTTTCATCCATTATATTTAAAGCTAATGTATACAATTTGTTGAAATTTTTACGGAATTTTCTTTATGATTTTACAATTCTGAAACCGAAAAATTTCAGAAAATTCACCGAGAAGTCTCCTCTCTAAAATATTGATTAGCGGTGGAGATTCCAAAACACCGCAACCAAGAAATACCCTTTCTGTTATACCCACCGCAAGTTGGGTCTGAAATCATACACGAACTAGAGCTACCATCCCCTTTTCTCCGCAAGTCCTTCCCTAACTTCTGGCTTGACACGTAGTCAAGGTTACCACTCATTGTCAGTGAAAATATGTAAAAGGTCCCCTCCCCCAATTTCTATGACAAAATTTGTGATTGACGCTTCAACCGCTAAAAGATAAAACAAACAAAAAGAGATGGCTGAAGGTCTAAGACTCCCCCCCCCATCCTCCCCCTTGTATGCAGCGGTGAAGAGGAGACCCTGAGATAAAAGTTGTGAAGTCCAGTATTTGCTTACGCGTTTTTGCCACGAGGCTTTTGGCGCGAGCTCGGATCAGTGGCGTGGCGTGCATTGCGATATATCAATTGTTATGCCATTTAAACCTATGGTAAAGAATCGATTATAAAGGTGTTCGCTGCGAACACCCTGTTTATCGATCCTATTCCATAGGTTTAAATGGCATAACAATCGATATATCGCAATTCACGCCACGCCACTGGCTCGGATCCGGCTACGCGTCTAATATCGCCTTTCCCTTCACGAAAGAACGTAACTACACTTCAGTGTTGCCAAATTTCCCCTTACAGATTGCGTTTTCATTAGAAGAATCTTGAACATTTCCAACCGAATTTTCACCGATTTTTCCTCTGGTCCCGTGTAAAAATTAGACGAATTTTGGACAAAAATTTCACGCTTAAATTCTTGTAAAAATTCGAGTTGTTAGAGGCAACTTGGCAACCTCGGAATTGGGTTACGTTCCTTCGTCCGGGAAATGACGGTGTGTTGGAATCTCGTCCCCCGCTAATCGCGTTAGTTCGGAACTCATGTTTTAGGTATGAGCTCTCGCATCTCAGGTCGCATAGGGGTGTCGGGCGGGGTCGGGGATGAACAATGACAATCGCGAAACTTATAAGGGATGAAGATCCTACATCCCCCGGGCAACGCGCGACGGAAGAAACTCACTAAAAATTTGTGCTAGTCGACTGAACTTTTATAAAAGTTGGTTCCGTGATGAGTGAAAATCACGGATTTACCGAGGCGAGGTAAGTGGGAGCCCGAGCCGTACCGTCGCGGAATAATTAATTTAGTTCTTCAAAGAGGAGCCCTCCAACAGCGATACATCGACTGATCTGCTGTTTAAACCTATGGAATAAGATCGATAAACAGGGTGTTCGCAACGAATACCTAAATAATCGATCTTTTACCATAGTCTGAAATGGGCAAGTATCGAAAATCGATCATTCACGCTTCACCGCTGCCCTCTAATAACTCCGCGGGGAAAATGCTCCTTGTGCTTTTGTCCTGTCCCATCGTTGTCTCTTTTACAATAAAATATCGGGCGTATGTGTCTTGAAAAAAAGGTACACAGTTAGATCCAGTAAGAAATGCTACTGCATCCGTAACGTCGCTATTTTTTTTTTACATCTCCTGATCTTTTTCAAGAATTCTGATCGAATTCTTACGGACGCTCTCTTCGATTTCGGAAAAATCTAGACGAAAATGCGGTTAGAGGATCAATTGAATGCGAAAACTTCCGATGGACAATATAGAAGTTACGAGTTACGATTTTATCGTAACTTACAGACGCAAGATAGTTTGAGACGTTAGGAGTGTATGGGTGACAGTCCGCTTTAGAAAGATCTAATCTCTTGAGAAAATCGTGTTGAAATTTTATGAAGTTATACAGAATATTGTGATTGCATGAAAAATTGCATAAAATTGTAAATTGTATGAAATCATATATTACATTGATGGTCAATTTGCGAAACCACGTAAATCCGTTTGCGACGTTGCAGTCTCCCGGTCATACTTCATTTTTTCTTTGGAAAAGTAGTCGACGCAATGTCTTGTGAACTTCCTTGATTTTTCCTCTCTGCTCGCAAAATATCATGTATAAAATTGAGCACTTAATTTGGCTTCTTTCTGTTTGAAAAAATAGAATAGGAGCGGAAATTTTAAAACACCGCAATGGATAAACGCCGTTTCATACTTCGGTCATCAATATTTGACTTTATACCACAAAACGTTGAAGAGAGCACTATGGGAATAATAATCGTTTGGATCTAGAGTCCAGACTCTTAAAAACATTGACAAGAAAAAATACTCTCGATTAAAACGGATTCTCCCTTGAATCGACGAGTTACGCCTCTTGATTTAAGCGGATTTCCATTTGATTAAATCAAAAATCCGATTGAATCAAGAGTTCTTTTTCTTGTAAATGGAGTCTGGACTCTAGATTCAAGCGACTTTTTTTCCAGTGAGTCTACGGAAAGAGGTTTACAATTTACTCACTCAAATTGGCAACAAATCGGGAAATCAAGTTTCCAGCGTCGCGCAACCCTCCTCAATGTCCCGGTCAAAGACGAACGGATAAAAGTTTCGTTACACCCGCGCCCACCCGCTCCTTTGATAAAATTATCTATTACGTCAATCCACTTAAAATAAACAAACTTGGATCGGTAATCCGAGTCGCGCAGGAATCAAGCTATTCAGTCTTTTTTAGTCTAACTTTTACAATTTCTTGCGTTTGATTTTATGTAAAATCCCACTTTTCCATTTCCCCAAGAGGAATCACGCTCACTTTTACATTGTTTCTTACGCAGCTTTCTAGAGCACACCCCATCGTTCCCACTCGTCCATAGTTCCGTTTAGCAGAAACACGTCCAAATCTTTCCTCCCCGACTCTCAATCTAATGGACCTGTTGCAAACTTTTGCTAGAGCAAAAATTAGAGTTGTTCCTTCTGGATAATGTCACCAAAATCACGATGAGCGCATCGGCAAACTCTGGTATGCACTCCTAACTTCACAATCTGCGTAGGAAATTTGCAGTTTTTTAAGCTTCCCGCTCCGAAAAGGATACTACGGCACGGATGAACATTTCGTGAGAGGAGTCATTCCATTCTATCCCTGCTCAACATGGCTGTCGCTTCTACGCGCAAGTTGAGGAGAGCTCGCGGCGAATCAAGGCAGATTCTATGAAAGCGAGAAAAAGGTAAATGTAAACACGCGGATTGTATTCATGTGGTTGGAAGTATCGTCCCGTCACATGTGTTTAGGCGGATTGGCGTCGGCTATGTTGAATATTGCGTGGTATCCTTGTGAGCAGGGGTTGGATGGAACGGCTCCTCTAACGAAATGTTCACCCGTGCCGTGGTATCGTTTTTGAAGCGGGTAGCTCGAAAAAACGCAAATTTCTTATGCAAATTGGACGTATTTCTGTAAAACGGAACTAAGCGCCATCAGAGAAGGAAGGTAGAGGGGGACTTGGATTGGCGGCGGAATCGGGCGTCGGGCTCATTCCGTCCTATACTCGCAATACTTCTCCATGGCGCTTAGCTCCGTTTGACAGAACGCGCTATCCGGCATTCTAAATTCCTCAAAAGGAACTCAATTTGGCGCTTAGTTCCGTTGGACAGAGATACGTCCAATTGTGAAGTAAGGAGTGCATTTCAGACTTGGCCGATGCGCTCGTTGTGATTTCCGAGACACTCTCTATGGGTAACAGCCCTTATTTTTGCTCTAGCAAAGGTTTGCAACAGGCCCATTATGCTTCGTTCCAACAAATTTGAACCCCACCCCCTCTTCCAACTATAAATTTCGACTGAAATACTATTGCCGCCTCCGTTTCCTATCTCCGGATGAGAAGGATGGCGAGAAGGATATCTCCGGATGTAGGCCAAGAGTGGCGAGACGCGGATGCTCGATTATCGATATCTCCCCATTTGAAGCCGTGGTAAACAATCGATTGTGAAGGTATACCCTGTTAATCGATCGTTTACCGTAGGTTTGAATTGGAGATCAATGGATGTATCGCAAAGTAGAGTCCCTTTATATCCAGAGTTAAGACAACTCACTTTTGGTTGGGCTGAAAGTGGCCTAAAAAAAAATCCAATTCTGATTGGTTCTCGCTCATGGAGGCCGAAACGAGTGCACCAAGATGGCGGTACCTCGAATGTCAACAAGAGTAATGAAAATATTACCTAATTGTGGTTTATCAAGAGTAAATTGTTATTGCCATTGGTCCAAAATGAAAATAGATTTAGAAATTATTCACAAACCAATCTCATTTTCTTTTTAATTGATCAATTTGTTGATGTTGTTGTTTTTGTGTGACAGACATCGCAAGATTCCTGATCCTTACCCCTCAATATCGTTCGTTTGGGTGCACTCGTTTCGGCCTCCATGGCCAGCCAAGGCCGGCTGCCAGTCAGCTGATAATCGAGTTGTCTTAACTCTGGGTATAAAGGGACTCTATCGCAAAGCACGCCACACGCCTCTGGAAGGCGAAGCCACGCGCCTTCCGGGCAGGCGAAGACACGGATGGCAGGCCATCGGGAGCCACTTCCGCGCGCGGCGTTGCGGATGAGGAGCGCATGAAATTAACGTCCCGCACGTCGCTAGGCCGTGATAAATGAACAGAGCGACTGATGGATGACTTTATCTCGGCATGGCGGCGCTTTCTCCTCCCTGTCCAGCACCAAGGCGACGCCGCTCACGCTTCCGGGTAGTTTCCTCCCCGAGGGAATATCCCGCCTTTCTCCACCGACACGGCAACGTCGGCAAAGCACTTGCCGGGCACGACGAGGACGAGTTTCGGGTCTCCTCGAACCGTGTGAGGCTCCTACTATAGCCAGGGATTTGAGGGCGAGCGCGCTGGAAAAATGTTAATGCTGTCCTCAAATAAGACAGCCTTTAATCCCTCTTCCCGGCACGGTGACCCAGTGCCTCTGTCAAGTACCGTGGTTCTCGTAGTGGTGCCATGCTAAGGAAACACGCCAGTGTCGTGGCGTCAACTGCGATATATCCATGACTATGCCATATAAACTAATAGTAAAGAATCGATTATTAAGGTAAGGTCCAACACCCTGTTTATCGATCCTTTTCCATAGGTTTAAATGGCAGATCAATTTGATATATCTCAAAGCACGCCACGCCACTGAAACACGCCGCACGGTGGATTGAGTCAATCTAAGAGATCGGACATGGAATTTTTGACTGATTTTTCAAATTCTAATGTTGATTTTGTCAGAAATTCAATTTCAAGGAGTGTTTATGAAGGAAATTTTACGAAAAAGCCAATGAAATCACACTCAGACTTTTTTGTTTCGTATTTCCAAAAATATAAGCTTTCAACAATTCCAAATTTTGTCCGACCTCTCCCATTGACTCGATCCACTGTGTGCCTTATGTGTTTTTACACGTTGCCACATTTCCTGGAATAGAGCTCGACTTTATTGGGCAAATTGTTAACAATGTTCTTCAAATTTTTCAGACGATGAGGCTCTTGCATGTGTCAGGAGTTTGCAATTTAAGTAATAGCCCCCTAGAATACATCTAAATGGAGGACAATCAGTATTCCCAACTTTCAAGAAGCGCATTTTATTCAGGGTAGCTCCTAAAAGACCTCAGAGTAAAAATTAGTTCGAATAATTCGGTACACGATTACTTGTTTGCGATATTAGGCCGAGTTCCTTAAGAACGTCCCTTAAGGAGGTCCCTTGGTGTCTGAAGGACGTATAGTCTTTAAGGCACAACCACGAATAAGACAAACGAAAACAAACACAGTGTAAAAATAGACCAAGGAGAAAGAGCGAATGCGCGTTGACGACGGCGCAGAGATACAACTATTCGTGCTTGTTTGATGTCCGCGTTGCGTCTGCAAAATTGAAGGCGCGATGGCGCGAGGCATGAACCCGCAAATTTTCGCTCTGTACTGCTAATTCAATGATGCGTCACTTAAATTCGGGGGAGAAGTTAAAAAACGAGGCCCAAATACCCCTGTCCTATCTTCGAATGTGATGAAACTTGATTTTTTTTCAATTTGACATTTGATTCTTTTTTAAAATGTATTTAAAGACCAACTTCTAAAGATCGTATGTGCATACCGGCCCCATTCAACCTGCGGGGCGCGTGTTTTAAGCAAGCCACGGGTCACTTTAACCTTTCTGGGCATCGGAGGGTTAAAACTTACTCAAAATATTATTGCGATGTTTGTTTTTGTAGTTCTTCATTTTCTCCTTTCTTTTTTGTGTTATTTCTTACAGATTCGTTGCATGACATTGCTGTCCTTGCCAAGTTTTTGCGGAGGCTCAGGGCAAAGCGTTGTTCAAGCTCTGATCGTTGCTTATTTGATTGCTGGTCCCGTGACTAATTTGGCGGTAAACAGCAGAGAAGTGGTCAGGGTCTTCGCATGTTCAACGGAACTAACGTATAATCTAACGAAAACCAGATTCAGCCTCATGTTCAAACCTTTCAAGACTGCTATATCCCAAATGCGTGTGAGAGTTCCTTCAACTTGTTTCTCTGACTTAGCTGCGATTCCTGCAAGCTGGCAACACGTATTTATGCTAAAAGCAACTATGTTGCACGCAAACCCTATACATATCGTTCCTTTTAGCACAAGTCTGTTCGGTTTCTCCTCCATTTCAATGTATGAAAAACCATCAGTGACGTGATGTGCTTTGCGATGTATCGATTGATCTTCCATTTAAACCTATGGAAAAGGATCGATGAACAGGGTGCTCGCAACAAACACCTTGAAGGTCAATTTTTTACCATAGCTTCAAATGGGAAAATGTCGATAATCGATCATTCATGCCTTCCTTTGAACTTCCAATACAAAAATGCATCACCGAAAACATGTGCGAAAATACCCAAGACCGACAGAAACGACGAAAAGTTCGATTTGGCATCGTCCGCATTATGCGGGCATCAAAACTCGGTTGAATACGTTTTTCGGCCGCGTCTACCATGCTGTACCTAAATAAGCTCGCAAAAGGGTCGACCTTTCGAGGAGGAGGCGGTAGCTTTTTTATGTACATTCTTTTAATACCCTGCAGGAGTGAATAATAGTGATTTTCTTATCTCGTGGAAAAGTAGATCCTCCGAGCTGTAAGAGGAGGGAATGTAGAGCCGGAAGTTCGCCGCTGCCAAATATACAGCCAAATTGAAAAAAATAAGAAACGAAAGACATGAGAATTTAATTGTAAAACTTTAATATAGAGCACGATGAAAATGTCTATAATTGAAAGTTTAACGTCTAAGCGAGAGAATGAATCTCGTAAACTTCATTTGCTGAATAGATTTATATTAGAACCGTATTTAGAGTATTTCCTTTGGCGTGAAGGTTTTCTTCTCCAGCTGGTGTATTGTTTCTAGTTGAAGTTCTTGAGGCTAAAGTATTTTAATTCGATCCTAAATTGATTCCACGTCATTGTTGCGCAGAGTGTGGCTTTATAACAAGATTAGGAGGCTCAGAGTTTCAATTATATCATACGGACGAGTTGACAACGCCGATCACCTACTTTTCTGCACATCCATTTCCTCGAGCAAAATATTTCGGAAGTGAGATAAAAGCTGCTCTTGCGGGGTATAATTCGGTTTTTTGCGAGGCACAAACTTGGAGCCGGAACGCGTTCCGCGAAAAGATGAGAGTGGTCTGTGAACCCTCACTCTTTGCACTGTATCGTAAAAAAGTCGTAAAATCATCGAGCGTGAATTAGGGATCTTGGCGAGGTTGAGTTTCTGCGAAAAAGTTCCAAATTTTTTCACGCCAATCACCATTTTCAGTAATGCTATAATGATCTAAATTGGCAGCTATGGATCTCGGGTTTCATTGCCTGGCTTCATATATTTTGGGGATCCGAGATTATCAGTCTCCTTTTAACGCTAAGCTCGGAGATTTCTTTGGGCACGAGACTTGAGTTTTAGGTCGCGAAAACAAGTCGGTTTGATCGAAGTATTAGTATGCAGCTCTGCTTCAGGAGCAAGAAAATAGTTCAAACAACTTTCAACATCAAAAAGAGTTAAAATGACTTTCATCGCACTAGAATGATTCTTTTCAATCAAATTATATCTCCAAAAACAGATACCAACGATTGAGGGGCTTGGAGGACAAGCTGCATAAGTGCAGTTTTTGCTGTTTCGCGAAATACGTGTTTGAATTTTCGAAATTATATGGATCCATACAGTGAAAAGAAAGTTCAAATGGTCTCTTTGATACTTAAAAATTGGACTTTGGGAGAGAATATTGTTACAGAATATGCCTTAAGTTTAGTTTAATTTGAAATTATTAATACTCTTTTTTTTTAAAAAATGCACCAATGCGCCTTGTCCTCCAAGCCTCTCAATTTTTTAACGTATTGTTCGAACTAAATGGCTCTAAAAACAAATAACGTCACAGATATAATGGACACCAAGCAAATGAAAAAAATATTTGTAATATTTTGCCTGAAAGGTAATACGCTTCTTTATTTTTACCTTGTCTCGTGGTCCATTCATTTGATCACAGTTCCCTTTTGGCATGAAGATGTCCATTCAGTAAATCATGTTTGATTGTTGAAAGCATTGGATAAAAATTACAAAAGCCGTCAAACCCAAGCAGCATTTGTCAACGGATGGATCGCGATACTTTAAACTCAAGTTGCGATTTTTTTTACAATTTTTGGTGATAAAATCACAAGGATCACCAACATCTGAGCGATTATTCTCAATCTAATCCCAATTTCATCTCTCTAAAATCGCTTTCGATAATAGCGAAATTTTTACTCAATTTACAAGGGTTTCTGATCGATAATATTGCGAGAAATCGCTATAGAAAAAATAGCAATTTTATGCGATGAAATCGGAACTAAGCACAAATTTTCATCCGATAATATTGCAATAAGTCGACATCGATAAAATCGTTATACATTCTCCGATAAAATCTCAACTTTCCGCGATCACTGTTTCTCGGGGTCAAAATCTAAGTTTATTTAACACGATATTTTGAATTTTCAATGAGAGAGAAGGAGATGCTTCACTTAAAATGTCACAAAGGCGGGGCGCGGGTGTTTATCGAAGAGGTCGCTAAACTCGGGCAACTGAAAGCAATGACAATGAATAGGCTGAATATACGAGGACGACGGTGGATTAATCTGGGTTTTTGTCCCGCAGGCGGACACGACTGGTGTCAAAGACACGTTGTCATCCATCAGGGACATCATGAGCCCGATAAAGCAGGAGTTGGAGGGAGACGAGGAGGTCAAGGAAATTATAGAGGATAACGACTACATCAACGCTGGAACGGTTTGTATTTAGCCGCTCTGCGGGCCCCCATTTTTTACCGATTCCCCGACTCATTTTTCCCCGTTAACCATCCGCAGTCCAACCTCCAGTTGCCAAGTCGTTCTCCTAACGCAGAGTCGAATTTCGCACTGCGAGACGTTCGATTCGTAACGGCAAAAAAACCAGCTTCTAAACAGTATTATCAAAAACATAGGAGAAAAAAACGGGAGACAAGGCTACCCTAGTAAAAATTGTCAGTAGAATGTGTGTTCCAAAATATTATAGACCTAAAGCCGGCTGTACAATTTCTCATAGCCTTTTATAGCCGATGGCGATTAAGCAACAGCCAAACGATAAAGTTTATACTAAACGTTACTAAATACGGATACCAGGACTTAGTTAGTTTTTGGACTACCGCTCTCTTTTTGTGCCGTAGTATCTTCATTTATTTTGCGAGGAAAGCTCCGTACTTTTGAAGGATGCCTGTCAGTCTTAATATGTTGGAGCGCCTAGAATTTCTTATGATACTGTGCAATACCTCTGATGTGAAATAGTTGCTTCAGACGCCGTGGCACGCTGCGGCGCGGCGGGCGGGCAGAGAGCGCGAAAGGCGCATTGGCGCCTACAAACCTAACAGGGATGCAGTGCGTGAAGTATCCCTGTTAGGTTTGTAGGCGCCAATGCGTCGCCGCTGAGCTTTGTGTTAGGCTCTAATATTTAATCTCGCAGAGTCAGCGTTTTTCAATTCATGATTTTGAAATGTTTGCACACACTGTATGGACTATTCTCATTTTAATTGATGAAAAAAAAAAAAAATTTAAAGGAAAATATAATGTGTGTTTTGTAAATATTAAGGCAGTTCCGTATCAAACTTAATGATTTCCAAAGCACACGAATTTCTACACAATTTCTTATGGCCTTTTATAGCCAATGGCGATAAAGTGTAAAGCCCGGTGATAGGAACTATAGCCCAACTGTATACTTTTTCATAGCTTCGTATAGCCCGGCTATATGATTTGCTCCGCTTTCTATAGCCAGCTGTATGATTTTCAATAGCCTCCTTTAGTCGGCTATAAGAACTCCTATGGTATTTTGAAACGCAGCTCCTATCGCCAATTTTTACCATGGTACAAAATACACATGACAATCCGAGACGTTTCGGCTCAAAATTGAGCCATTTTCAGTCGGAAGAATAAAGATAAAATATAAAAATTCCAAACAGAAACCTGCAGACTACACAAGGGCCGAGATAATCAAATCAAAGACACTTTTTATGCGTATTTTCTAGCCTTGCTTCCCATTTTTTTTCTCCTATGTTTTTGATATCACCATTGTCACGGGCTGCTGCTGTAGAAATTTTATAAACTAAACAGTATTCCGATGGCCAAAGTGAGAAACTACGAATCTCCATCGTGATGTTTCAAAATTTCCGCTCCTATTTCGTCACCCTCCGGCCAAAGTACCACAAGCGCCTTGCGACGTTTTAAAATTTCCGCCGCATTTTATTTTTTTACAGAGGAATTGTTGGTTGAATTTGTTTGAAAATTTCACTGAATTGTATCGGCAGCATTTAAAAAATTCAGTGAAATTTTCAGACAGTGACTCAACTAACAATTTCTGTGTAAAAAATAAAATGGCGGCGGAAAGTTTTAAACGTCGCATGGCGCTTGTGATACTTTAGCCGGAAGGTGACGGTTTTATTTTTTCAAAGATAGGTAAACAAGCCAACTTTATAGCTTCATTTGAAGACGGGATATTCCAGTCGCGAGACTTGAATGATCGATTGTCGATATTTTCCCATTTGGAACTGTGATAAATGATCGATTCGTAAGGTTTTCGTTGCGAACGACCTGTGCATCGATCCTTTTCCATATGTTTAAATGGCAGATCAATCGATTCCTCGCAAAGCACGCCACGCCACTGGAATATTCCGCTAACAGAGAAGAAAAATCAAGGCAGTTTTCAAGAAATTACGTTAACTAGTTTTCTGAAGAAAAAATGAAGTAAAACAAGACGTCTGCAAGGTCGCAAACGGGGGTACAAGTTTCACACTTCGTCGATCCTCTGACGTAAGGGCGTATCTTAATTTCCACATGAGCCTTGTGCTCGGTATGACTAGATGCTTTTGGCGGTTCATGTGGAAATAGAGTCACGCCCTTACGTCAGATGAGGGACGACTTTAGTCATCGATTTCGTTGCTCTAAGGAAAGTTCTATTTGCGTTGCGGAAGCGACTCCTGGATTCGCGAATTTGCCAGAGAGCGCTATAAAAGCGGCTCTCATGTATGTAGCGATCAGTGACGATTTTATAAACTGGCAACACAGTTTTTCCTTCATTTAAATCCATTAAAAATATCGATTTTGGTGACGCAAGCTGCCTCACTAAGATACAATTGTTTTACATACATTTAAATGGAAGAAAAACAGTCTTGCCAATCTCAAGAATTGCCACAGGTATGCGTAACATGTAACTGTCTGGACCTACTAAGTTTTAATATGCACTTATTCAAATATCAAAAATCCTCCTTTTAGGAGGAGTCTATCTGGAGATTGGAGGAAATCGAGAAACTGTACAACGAGTCGCTAGCAAAATCTCGCGGGGAAGCCATCGAGACTAAGTACATTCGGAAATTGCACGCTCGCTGTGAGGGTAAGTAAAACTGTGACATGGATCGCGTTCAGCAAGGAGGAGCCAAGCCACATCAGCTATTGCAAAACTTAACTGAGCAATTTAATTCTTACAAGAGAACTGGTGAGCGGATTCCTTTGAAAATTCAATGGAATTGTCTTCATACAGTGCAGAGAATTCACTGAAATTTGCACCAAAATCCGCACAACCGTTTTCGTGTAAAAAATTAAATTTATCTATTAAATTTGGCATTAGCTGCTGTGGCTTGGTTCCTTTCTGCCTAACGTGGTCCACATAAATCGTTAATATCGCTTAAAATTGCTCTGAAGGTGCTTCAAAGCTGTTTTATAACCTTTCAACAGATCATACGGATCCAAGGTTCCGTCTACGAAACTAGTCCGCGGTAACAGCCGCACCCTACGGTAACCCTCACTGAATGGGAAGGGCTATGACTTGTTCTACCGATAAGCTGTAATTTGCTGCTGTTAATGAGATAATATGTAGCAAAGCACAATCAAATAGGTCTTCATTTGAGAGTACTGATCTCTTAGTGCAGCGAAAATTCCCTCTTGGGGTCAGAAATTTTTCTTCCGCCTCTCCGGTGATAAATGATTTCTCATAATCGCACGAACATAGGCTCAAAATAATTGTAAGTCTTAATTTACTTCATTATAAGAGATGTTATCTGATTTTGAAACGAAACCGTCGCGAGCCTGGCAATGGCGTTGGCGAATTTCGGCGCTCACTTTTGGCGATTTTTGGATGCTTTCAACTCCTCAAAGCAGTAATATAGTTATCTCATCCCTTTACTTTAAGTTAAATTTTATCTGACTTTATCACATATCATTCTTACGTCAGTACAAACGAAGATTTTTTGCCAGAAAAAGAAACTCTCATTTTTAACTTAAGTTTTTTCCTTTTTTCAGAATTATAAGTACAATGCATGATTATTTTATCTCAAGTTCCCTCTTTATTTTTGCCTCCAGGTATGATTACACAAGCTGTAGCTAAATGCAAAAGAGTTTTTGCGAATTCTTTCGACACGTGTTGGGAAAAACTTCACTGGGCTGTCAAGTGGGCCTTGTGCTGGCCTATGAAACTGGATTTCATCTGTAACGTTGGCAAAGGTATAACCTCAGGGAAACATTTCATCCCCTTATTTTATTGGATAGTTAGTGTATACCTACCTTCGTGAGCTTTAGTTTTAAAAACTTGTCCGATGATGTTGACAAATTTTAAAGCCTGAATGCTTCGAGAGAGGAAACTTACTTGTCAAGTTCCACAAATAAAAAAATAAAAAAATGGGCTGCTCCTCAATAAAATAATATGGGATAAAACATAGGCAACAAACGCAGCCATGACAATCGATACCATGTCTAAATTAAGAGGCAAAATGTTTATCTTATTGTTAGTAGCGACACGGCTTTTGGAAATGTTTAACATATTGGTAAAACATTTTAAAAAAACGCAATTAAAACTTACAAAGAAGGAAAGTGTTTTAGGTATTTTCTTAGAATATAATTTACGATGATAAAAATTTACTTTGAAAAAATTTCAAAATATTTGAAGGGATCTACTGAAGTTTTTAAGAGGAAAATTATTTTAAAAAAAATATCCAAAAACTCGGAAATAATAAAAGTTCTCAAAAAAACATTCATATAACTTTTACTAGATAAAATACCCAAAGAGGATTCCTTTTCTCTAAATTTAAAAATAATTTTAAAGCATTTTCCAGAGATGCCTCTCAAGAGTTATTGCTGCTAGGGGGTCTTTCATTAAAACAAATTTAATCATTAACTTATAAAATCACTACTGATAGGTGCAATACTGACTATGCGTAGTAAACGCCATAGTCAACTGAGTGCAGTTTTTTCCCGCCCGCATGCTCGTCATATATTTATCAGAGCATCTCTTAAAAACATGTAAACGTTGGAATAAATTGAGTCTTAACCACCCTAGATATCTCTGTTCAATTAGCATCCTGATGACTCATTATTTCAGTGCTTACGGCAAAAAACCGAGAGAGAAAAGGATAAGTTCTGGAAAAAACCTTCAAAAGCCCGTGATACCACCGGCAAGTACAGGAAAGGACGAATAGTTGTATTCGCGCCCCTTACGTGACACAGCTGACTGCAGTGGTTGAGTGGTCTGCACCTCTATGTTGCCTTTAACCTAATCTTCTTTTCTCAAGAATAAAATGTACAAACTAAATAAATGAATGAGAGGAGGAAAATGTATGTAAGCCCACGAACCCTTGAACTTGAGAGAGCTTTGTGAATATATTTTTTGAATATCCGTACCATACTAATATTCAAAATGGTCGTCTGCCATAAGAGGAACTTAAGGGACTGCATTGTATTGTTTACTTTATACTTTATCACTCTAAGGATTATTAGAGTATCTGTATAGCGAGAGTATAGACAGATGTGAAACTCCGAAAATCCATCAGGCCTTCACCGATGTCTCCGCGAATAAAGTTAGGGCCCAGAAATGCAGCCAACCTATGAATCTCAATTATCCAGAGCGCTTTACTAATACAATTGTTACGAACCATCGTTTATAAAGCACGTATTTGACTTACTTGTTGCATAAATTTACTCATTTTTGCGGAAAAACGCTCATTTATGTACATTCTTAGCCATCTTGGTTAGAATTGGAATGTGCAGACTGGCAGTGAAATTTTGTGCGTTAGAAGTTGGTTAGAAGGATGGCGGCACTTTTGGGCCCTAAGCCCTCCATGAAGCGATCTGTCCATACTCTCGCTATATAGGTACTCTAAGGATTATGTTACTTCTTCTGTATGTAGTTATGATTGGAGAAAATAATTTAACAACCGAAAATGTTTATTTTTTATCCAAATTTTCTCTTTAAAGTGTAGTTTCTAAACTGATTCCACTGAATACCTATTGATGCCGTTTTGTTTCCTTTCTTTGACATGTAACTTTGGAGCAGTTTTTGGGAACGAGAGTGTATGCGATCCAGGTAAAATCATCGCTCCGGGATTCGGAAGTAGTTTTCAATACATGGAAAAGTCTGTGTATGAATTTAAAGAGGGCTTCAGAAAAGTTCAAGTGCAAATTCAAATTGACAAGGCGACTAAATTAGTGAGTAGATTTTCATGGAAACTCTCTTTAACGCCGACCGAAATATTTTTTTTTTATTTTATAAGACTTAAAATGCAGTATAATTGTCGCAGGCAATTAGTCAAATCAGGCATTTTGTCAAATGCCTAGGCAAAGAGTCAAATAATCTTACTTGGATTGAAATTCTGATTCTTTTGCTCTTTTTAGACAAAATAATTATTCTCTCAAGTTGATAAGGATTTTCTGTAAAAATTGGAATCATATAATTGTAAATAAATTCAATCTAGTCCTTAAACGAGCTTTCATGTCGGGATTTTCAGCAGGTCATAAAATACCAACTTTTTAAAACTCTGAAAGTTGAAATATATGAGGAGCATTTGGAGGGCAAAATACAGGATAAGTTAGTACTTTTGATGAATTGTTACTTTCAAAACAATGGAATCTTACTAGTTCCTCGTCAAAAACATACACGTTTTTGTAAATCATCAAAATTTGACTATCTGCCTAGGCATTTGATGAAATGCCTGATTTGACTATTTGTCTGCGACATAAATAAATAAGCTTTCGAATTAGAGTAGCAAGGAGCAATTACATGTACGTAGATCAAACTTCAACAAATGCGTATTATGCTCCCCTCAAAATAATTATGAAGCTGCAAAGTTTCAATGATAAGTAGTTCAACAAACCCTCCTCTAGGACTGAATGTTGCTAAAATAATTAATTTGAACATTACTTGTATCAGTGGCACGGCGTGAATGATCGATATTTCCCCTTTGGAAGCTATGGTAAAAGATCCATTATTTAGGTGTTCGCTGCGAACACCCTGTTTATTGATCTCTTTTCATTGGTTTAAATGGCAGATCAATCGATGCATCGCAAAGCACACCACGCCTTTGACTTGTAGGTTTTTAAGATGATTGGCTCAGATGACAGGCGAATAAGTGTAGTTTTTGCTATCCCGAGAAATAGGTGTTTAATTTTTTGAAATTACATGAAGCTTCATAGTGGAAAGATAACTCAAACTCACTTTTTGATGATTAAAAATTGTCTTCTGTAGAGAATATTTCACAAAATATGATTTAATGCTGACTTCAATTAAACTCATTAATCAGGAGTCCTTGAATGAAAATCCTCAGAGGGATCCCTTTTTCCTCTAAGCCCCTCAGAGGAAAATCTCTCTCGCCCCGTATTAGCGATTCTGCATTCTACATCTCGAACGTATGATATGTACAATCGGACTAAATTTTGCAATTAGGAACCACAAATTCTGGTTCGGTTTAGAAACAACGTATGTATTTTTAGATTCCTTGTTTGCATAAGTGTTTTCACGGATGAGCCAGAAATTGTAGTTCCCAATTTCAAAATGAAATCTAATAATCAATCAATCCTAAAAAGTCGATCTATAAATAATTTTAAATGTAGCTTCGGGGCTCTTAGGGTGTTAGTGTCTCACATTATTTCATTTTATCAATATTGTAAACCGTCCCTTAACTCATGCTCTTTTCTGATGCAAAATGTGATATTTATATCATTGAGGGTATATTTAGACGCGTGAATCGGGAAAGGGTGAACATGTGCAAATCATTTAATTTCAGTTCAAGTCGGGTCATTGCCACAGGAAATAGTTCCAATCATGGATGATGACACGGAACCACCTTAATATTTATACAAAACACACATTATATTTCCCTTTAATATATATTTTTTTCATCCATTTAAATGAGAATTATCCATTCAAAGCATGCAAACGTTACAAAATCGTGAGTTGAAAAATGCTGACTCTGCGAGTTTAGATATTCTAGTCAAACACAAAGCGGAGCGGCGCGCGTCGTGCTGCTAGCGCGGCATGCGCATTGGCGCCTACAAACCTAACAGGGATACTTCACGCATTGCGCAGTGCGTGAAGTATCCCTGTTAGGTTTGTAGGCGCCAGTGCGCGTGTCGCGCTGGTCGCCCTCGCCCGAAGCGTGCCACGGCGCTTCAAGCAACCATTTCGCAACAGAGGTGTTGCACGGTATCATGCAAAATTGAAGACGCTCCAACGTATCAAAAATGACAGGCATCCTTTAGGAATACGAAGCTTTCCTCGCTAATTAAATCATGATACCACGGCGCAAAAAGAGAGCGGTAGTCCAAAAACTCACCAAGTCCTAGCATCCGTATATAAGAACGTTTAGCATATTATGAATTACATTAGAGAAAAAAGTGACCTGATTCAGGCAGAAACATTCTTAAGTATGCCGTCAAGAAGATTTTATTTTGAATCAAGAATAAAATCACTGAATGAAATTGGGTTTCTGCTTGTTGTAAGTGACTTTCCTTTTTATACAGGTATCTTTTCCTCTTTACTTAAGCATCATTTTCTTTATTGATTCATCAGGGAATCTTCTTGGCGGTAAGTTTGAGCATATTTCTTATTGGATCAAGTATCTTTTTCCTTTAATAAAGTTCAAAAATTATGCTAAACCTTATTGAATACGGAATTACGGATACTCGGACTCAATAAGTTTTTCGACTACCGCTTTCTCTTTGTCATCGTCCCTCGATTAAAGCGAGGGAACTTCGTGCTCTTGAAAGATGCCATCAACCATGAAACATTGGGGTGCCTTCAATCCCGTATGATACTGCGCAACACCTCCGTGGCGAAACAGTAGCTCGAGGAGCCGTGACACGCTGGCGCGGCGTCGTCGCGAAGTTATCGTACACAGGAAAAATTTAAGAGCCTTCAGCTGAGGCAAATCAAAAGGTTTATCCGGATCAGGTACAATATAACAAGATGGGATTTTCTTGAGAGATAATCAAGTCCTGTCGCACCAAAGAGGTGTAAAGAGTTTTAGTGAATTTTCCTGCATGGAATCAAACATACATTGGAAAACAAAAAATCGTTGACGAAATGTCTTATGACCAGATGGAACTCCACGACTGCTAGCGTATCAAGGTGAAAGTTATGAGTGAGATGAGAGTTTTGGTCATGACGTATTACTTCGGTTAAGTACGCGAGCTAGACTTGTCAAATTAGATAGCTAATGTAACTTCATTGTTATTCGGACAGCTCCTGTAGTTGTAATGAAAATTTCCCACAAAGTCATTCATTAAACTCAAAATGTTGCATGTAGCTCTCAAATTTTTGGCTGGGAGAAAGTGAAGATTCGGACTAATTTTTAAAATAATTATCGAGACTTAAACTGGGCAGAAATTTTAAAATTGATGCTCACATACCAACATTTCTTACGATTTGGAGGATCGACAACGTTTTAAAAACATTTAAATAATCAAAGCATTTTTCGGAAAATTGATAATGTCGCGATAAAAATTAGTAATAGTTTATACTTTATCGGCACTATAGGCAGCGTTGGAATGAGGAAACCTATGAGGGAAACGGACAAAGTTCTCTCAGTTTGTATCCCATGCGACGAATTCTAAACGAATTTCATTGTAACTTCTGCATGCAACTATTCGGGCTCTGTGGATGTCCGTGTTGCATATGCACGGTAGTGAAGGCGTTTTGACTCCGCAGCACTCGCCGCTTCACCCGCGGCGCGGCGCAATGCGGCTTTGGCGGGCAGTAGCACGAGGATCCAGAGTAATATGGCACCTCCAATTTTTCGTTTATGCTACAAAGAAATTTCTTAGGCACGAATAGCTGCTCGACAAATGCTGCACAGAACATCGCGATATCGAAACTGAGGCACGAAAGATACCATTGACCCGAGCTTAGGGGATGTTTTGGTAATGGAGACGAAGAATTGAAAGTGTCATGTCATTTTTGATCTTCGCAAAATAGCCTTGTTTTAGTTTTATGGGACACTATAACTGAAGGCTTCTTGCTTGTTTTCCTTTCATAAAGAAAAACAGTTTTCTTTCTTATTTTCTTCGCTACTCGTTTCTTCTGCTTCTAGAGTTTCCTTTCGTGCCTGCGAGGTAAATTATTGCTCATTTTTATCGCGACAATGTCATTTTCCCGAAAAATGCGTTTGATCATTTAAATGTACGAGTATTACGACGTTACCCTCATAAAATGCGGGCTGCGGTGAAACTTTTTACAAGCTGTACTTGTACTACTACGGCTGAAATTTGTTCGAACTGGACCCAACTCTCTTCAAAGATTAGAAAAATATCATCGTGTTATCGATACACTCTGGCAAATTAGCTTCGTAACTTTATAAATAGCCGCAGTTGTGGTTTTCATCTACCGTTTTCCGTGATCATTGTTAACGAGCTTTCAACTACCAACTCAAGTGTGAAGCGTTGATCTATGGATCAAAAGGTAGCTAAAATTTTGCGTCGAGGAAAATAGGGCTGCTCTGCGTAGTTACATAATAATGATGTCACGGATGCTGAGTGGGGATTGCGATACCTAGATCAGAAACATTTGCTTTGTGTCGCTTGGGGAACCAACCCCTTATTTCCTCGTCTGACGACAAACGATTAAACCTTCTCTTTAAAGTTGTACGATGATAATTATCAAGTCAGATGTTTCCAAAACAATATCTAGAACTTTTCTCTTTTCTCAGGAGATCCTTGTACTAAACGAAAGGCAAAAAGCACCTAACCTCATAATGGCAAAAACTGCGTTTATGCGCCTTGTCCTCCAAGTCTCTCAATGAGCCTGTTTGCAAACTTTTGCTAGAGCAAAAATAAGAGTAGTTTCTATCAGTAAATTGATGGTGAAAGTGCAGAAGTGCGTGTCTCGGAAAACACGATTTTCCAGGACAGAAAAAAAAACTGTCTACATTCCTCTTTACTGTTAGCAATTCTTGAGGTTAGCAAGAATAAAATGCTTTTTCAGACTCCATCAGCATTTTGAATAATTTCTCGAAATGTTAGAAAAGACAGCAGAAATGATGAGATTCGCGTTTTTGGCACTAAAAATTGACACTTCATCACGAGATCCATATTTTTGAAATTAGTGTTTTAAAAAACAATGTTGCCAATTTGCTGGATCCGCCAATGTTTTTCACCACTCTAATTTCGACAGGTTGAAGGGGTTCAAGATGCATACAGTGCAGCACAAGCTGTCCAACAAGAGTTTCAAGTCAAACAGAGAGTTGCAATGTTTTTCTTCAAACTGACGAACATAATTTTGGCCTTCTCTTTCCTTGCCGTGATCCTTCGGTGCGTCTTAATTTTTTTCAGCGTTGATACTTAAGTAATTTTCAATTTGTAATTGTGTGAAATGTCGCGAGGGAAAATATGTATTTTAAACTCGCATACGAAAAAAAAAGAAAAAAATGATGATTATTAGCACCTCCTACTCAAGTTGTAATTTTCTGATAATTGCATGCATAATAATGAAGGTAGCTCTATCTTATTCCAGCATTGGCATCGCATCCATCACAGCTAAAGGGATTTTAAACTGACTTCAAAAAGGGCAAACTAATGAGTAGACACCTCAAATAAAAGATCAGAAATAGAGACTGATGCCCCCCCCTCCTTACCCCTCGATTTGATTCAAAATAACTCTTGTTTTCGCGGCAAATTTAAATGCAATCAATATTGAATAATAACGCTAATATCTTGGTTTGGAGTTACTATCAGCTATTTTCGAATCTTGTTCTACGTAAAATGTTGAGGAGGAAACATGTATCAGAATGCTTAAATCGGTACCTCATCTACTTTACTTTGCTAAGGAAGAACGCCGTATGCGCCCTCAGAAGTTGTCAAATCTACTCCGACAAATCACAAATTTCGGGGCAAATTTGTAAATATTTTTCTTCCGATTTCTTAGAGATTTTGTTGCGAATTCGATCGAGAGTGTCTGCAAATTCCAAAGAAAAATATTCATAACGTCCTTCAAAAATTAATATTATCTGAGAGGCAATTTTGCAAGATTCGAGTGCTTAAACATGGTTTTTCCTTAACACGGAAGTACTCGTCCATTGGCGTAGGTTCTCGGTACTTAACTGTTTCCAATGCTTTACTAAGTGAGATTAAAGTTTTATTTATTCTTTGTCAGAGTATCTGCTTACATGACAAATTATTTGACCAGTATCGAATACGATAATGTGTACATCACCAGATACTTCCGCAAAATCGACGCAAGGAGACGTAGGCAAGGTCATCACACGTTGCTACCTTTAAAAAAACTTGAGCGGAAGAAATATATCGATTTGTACAACCTGAGAATCACTCCCAAGGAGAGGTGGACACTGGTAAGATTCTGAATCTATAATTACCTAATCCTGACCGTTCAATTTCGGTCTTATGGCGCTCTGTTTTTCAAGATTGAATCCGTTCTAAAATAATAAGCAGTGGCGACTCTTGACAGCTGGCGACAATGTTGCTCCTCCATTTAAATCCATTGAAAATATCGATTTGGGTGACGCAAGCTGCCGCGCCAAGAATCGATTGTTTTACATACATTTAAATGGAAGAAAAACAGTGTTACCATCTTTCAAGAATCGGTACCTCTTATGTGAAATGAAGGGGAAAAGGAAAAGACGAATAGAAATAGCTCATCATGTATCAAAAAAATGGTAAAATTACAGGGACCCCACGGCAGGGTTGGATTTGAAGAGGAGTCGAGGGGCTGCACCACCTTGGTCGCACATTTCGAGGGGCAGCAAATTAAGAAGTTTGATTTCAGAAATTATCTCTTTTCTTCGCTCTCTTTCCGATTTACTGCACATTGGAAAAAAGCAAACAAGCAAAACAAGAAAAGTCACAATTGTTGTTAAATCGAGGGGCGGCAAATTGCTGCTGGTCCCCGGCGGAAAAATTAAAAATTCCATCCTACTTCACCGTAGTTATTGTTTACGGAAAATTCAAAATTTTCTCTTTTCCAGAATTTGTATTTTCATCGAACAGACCCTTAAATGTAGGCACATGGAAACAAATGAAGTTGATTTCTTGGGATGATGTTTTAATTATTTTCAAAAATAAATTGCACTATTGAAACGCCGACACAACAATTGTTCCAAAAATAATTATAACGAATTTCAGGTTTCAGTAAGGACTCAGAATTTGCAGAAATCATAGGTAGCAGAAGCCCCTGGTTATCACGAATGAAAATTATATTATTTTATAAATATTAAATCTTTGCTCATTGTAAGTATTTTGATCTTAAAAAACAAGTTCAGCCTAATGAAGCACCAGATGCCAATCCCATTAAACAATTTCGGATCTATAATAGAAAAACTTTCCTGAACTCGTATTTCGTAAGGTATCCTTCCCTCTTTATATTTTCACGTACTATTCCGTAAATGCGATAAAATAAGCATAACTACTGATGGCTAACGTGGAACTGAGGTTCAATTTTTTTTTTTATCGAAAAGTTTAGAGATTTTTATTATGGTTTGAATGTGTACAGTAATTTTTTTGCCCTAATGGACCACTAGACAAGGTACGAATTTCAGCATTCTGATACATGTTTCTTAACCTAAATTTCACGTAAAACACGATGCACACAACAAAATTTACCGAAATGAACTCCTTACAAAGATATTTAATGATTCTTGATGCGTGAATTCAAACCACCCGCTCTTGAAAACTCAATGTTCTGCGTGATTCACATCGCGCTCTAAACGTTATCATGACAGTCTTTACGATATAAAAATCTGGCAACCTCAATCTTGACACTTTGGCTCAGCTATAGCAAATTGCTTACAGTTTGAACAACACATGGTGGGAAATGAACATTACTCGATTGAGAAGCTTGTTGCAACTGTTGTAGTGCGCGATTTGACTCACGTAGACCTTTGAGTTTCTTGTCAGCGGGCAGTTCAAATTCCTCGTGACCAATGTGAAATAAAAACATTAATATCTTCGTTAGGAGCTAGTTTCAGTCATTTTCGTTGCGCGAATCGTGTTCTGCGTGAAATTTTGATTAAGAAACATGTATCAGAATGCTTCAATTCGTACCTTGTCTAGTGGTCCATTATGTCCTTCTTCGCAGTATGCCTCTTGGCTGAGAACGTTCCTGGAATTTTTGTTCGCTTCATCTATAATATTCATCGACTTTCTGTTTTATGAGGCATTGAAAATTGTCGAAAGTCAGTCTCGAATCGATTACGTCCAAGAAGGTAAGGTACCACATTTAGTATTTAGACTGAAAATCAGAATAACGAGGAGACTTATAATTTCATTTTTGTATTTTCCTCCTCTCGCTGCATCTGCACCTCTCTCTCTTAGTGGCAACGCCGGGTTTGGGGGGCTGTTGCCCCAGGGCCCCCACCAAAAATATTTGTTTTTTTGTTTCGATACTACGGCAAAAACTGCAAAAGGGTAGCGCACATAATATATAATATTTCATTCATTTAAGTATCACGTAGTATGGAAGGTCCCACGCTAAAATCCGACATTTGGACGTACAAAATCCACAAAATTTACATCGTTACTTGAAATGCTTCTGAAAATGAGTCAACTTCCGAAAGTTTCTGGAGGAGGCCCCCCCTCCCCAGGTGACCCCCCTTCATGGAGGGGGTATTCTGTACCCCTTACTTCTCGGTAAGTGGAGTCAGGGATGTGTGTCATTTTTCATGGGGGCAAAGTCCTCCTAGAAAATGATCTAGCTCCGCTTAGCGGTGGCCAAAGTGTGAAACCAAGTATCTCCACTGCGGTGTATCGAATTTTCCGGTCATATTTTATTTTTTACTCCAAATGCGCATCAAACTGTAGACCAAAAAATAAAATGCCCAAAAATTAATACTACCGATGAAATATACCACTGTACATTTTCCGTAATTGACTGTTTCAGGGCATCACTACTTATACTTAAGTATTGAGGGAACAGGAATGATTGCGAGCTTGATCAGATCCGTAGTGAGAGGATTCAAAGTAAATAAGAAAATAAAAAAAGTGTTTTCTAATGAGGGTGAGTAAAATTTATGATTACCGACGTCAAACCGATTTAATGTGATTCAATGGACGCTATATTTTGTGTCGGAACGACATGCGATACATCGCATCGATTAGTTCCATTTTTTCAGTTACTAACTTGTCATTTTCTTGGAACTTTGAGATCGCAATTCTGTTGTCAGGAGACTAAAGCCAACATGACACTTACCAATTTTGACAAACAAATTCAACTTAATAAAGGCGTGGTTTTTTAGAGGAAAAATACCGCGTTCGATACTGATATCAAAACTGCACTCGAATGCGATATTCTTTCTCTAAAAAAAACACGTCTATAGTAGCTTGAATTTATTTGTCAAAATTGGTAAGTGAATTCTTTAGTCTCTTGACAACAGAATTGCGATCTCAAATTTCGAGAAAAATTACAAGAAACTGAAAAAATTAAACCAATCGAAGCGATATACCGCATGTCGTTTTGACACAAAATATGGCGTCCATCGAATCACCTTAAGCATCTTGTGAAAGCTTGTTTGATAAGCGCCACGATACCCGATGCCTGCTTTCGTCACCCTCCTGAAATAAGGACGTAACCACACTCTGCGATGAACCCCTGCGTCCATGCACTTAAATGCTCTTCCGGGCTCATTCCAATGTGCAGTTACGCCCTTATGTCGGCCGGGCCACGATATGTCACGTCCAATGCAATAGATCGTATTCGATACATCAAACGGGTGAGATTGTATCGATATCGATTGGTTCAAAACATAAACATAGCCTCAGTAAATTCAGAAATCTGAGAGAACGGATCTTTTGAAACAGATTTTTTATTCTTTTGAGTACCAAATGCCAATGCAAAGTGAAATTGTCAGGGAATTTCTCATTTTCAGCTTTTCCAATTAAAATCCTTACAGTTTGGTTTGAGGTTATGTTCTATTGTTTTGAACCAAACGATACATCGAACCGTTATCGAATACGGTCTATGGACACATCGAAAATTTCTAGATTCAACGGACCACCTAACAAGGTGCGAGTTTAAGCATCATCATGCACAAGTCGAATGCAAATAGTCAAATCAGGCATTTTATCAAATGCCTAGGCCGGTAGTCAAATTTTTTTGACAGTTTACGGAATTTTGTAAAATGGCGAGGAGTTCACAGCACAGGGTTTCAATATTTTGGGAAGAACAACTCTTCAAATCCTTGAACTCTCCTTGTTTCTTCCTTTTTACAAGTCATTAATTCGTTCATTTAAATGTTAAACTTTTGAAAATTCTATGTTTCGTGACGTGCTGAAAATTGCACGAGAAATGTGCATTCAGGGTCTTAAAATCGTTTAAATACTTTTGTATGCTGCATATTTTTGCAGAAATTCTTTCTTACACGAGCAACGAGTTATTTTGTCCAAAATGAGGGTGAAAAATCAACATTTCAATCTAAGTAAGAATTTTTGACTATTTGCCTAGGCATTTGATAAAATGCTTGATTTTACTATTTGCCTTCGACGTATATACCTTGAGGTGATTTTTTTTTCGTTCCGGTTCTGGTGATATAGGTGTTCAGACTATGAAAATTTCAAGTTTTTTATCCTCAGGCCGATGTAGAAAGCCTGAACACCTGAATCACCAGAACCGGGGCGAAGAAAAAAAAAGAGGGAAAAAAAGAAGAAAATCATCACAAGGTATTTACATTTGAATCCGGTAAAATAGTCAAACCCTTCAATTATCATGTATGTTTCCTCATCAAAATTTCACGTTGAGCACGATTCCTGCGACCAAAATTACTGAAATCAACTTCTAAGATTTAACGTTTTTCGATGCGTAAATTCAAACCTCCCGCTTATGAAAAAAAAAAAAAAGTTTATCTGAGTCAAAGCGCGCACAATATTGCGATTTGACTCAAGAATAGACTTTTGTTTTCTCTTGTGAGAGGGGAATTCAACATTACCGTAAGCAGTGTGAATTAAAAACGTTAATATCTCAGTATGGGGTTGGTTTCAGTAATTTTCGCGGCGCGGATCGTGTTTTACGTAAAATTTTGGGGCTCAAAATACCCACGATTCTCATTTCTGCTAGAGAATAATATCGGACTCGGGATTAATATGCAATGGGAACACCCTTTTGTCAAAGAGTGAGAATTGATAAGTACGTAGGTATTTTTTTGTGGAACTGTTTGATTTGCAAAACGTTTGAAATCGCGCTCATCGGCCGATTTGATTTTTTCAATGTTGATTATTTTTGCAGGCATAAAATTTAAAGTGACTGTTTTTCAAGGAGTTAAATTCCGAATTCTAAATTTTTCATCAAGGGTTGATTTTGAATGTTCCCAATATGCAATGTGTTTAGCGTTCTGCGTAAAATTTCAGTAGGTATGAGAACACTCCTTGGGGATCTTCCGTTCTTTTTCCATACCCATTACCTGGGTGGTTTCACAAAAACTGGAACAAAGCCGGATTAAGGGGGTGGCCACATGGACCGCGGTCTATGGTGGCAAAATGTAGGGGGCGGCAAATTTTGCAATCTTTTTGAATGTAGTTATCAAAAAAAAGAGAAGAAAAAATCGGATTCAGAAAATAAATTACAACCGAGAAAAGGCGACAATATCTCTCATTTCCAGAGAGTAAAAGTATAGTAGATTCTAATTTTGTCGTCTTTCGGTGTTTCAAGAGACAGCACCTTTAATAAGTCGAGTTAAGAGAGAAATCAAACACGCAATTTGACCTTAAGCGGCGAGGCGCAGAGAGCGAAGATGTCGAGGACTGAGATGAAAAGGAGAAGCCCTCGGCGCGGCGCGGCGGTCGGCATGAAACGCATAGCGCCTACACGACTGCATGAATACTTCGCGCATTGCGTCAAACAGTGCGGTCAGCAGCGGTCGGCGTGAAACGCATAGCGCCTCGAAGACTGTAAGACTGTAGGAATACTTCACGCATTGCGCAAAACACAGTGCGGTCGGGGCAGTGGCGGGAGTTAAAATTATTAAACCACATTTATATGTATGTTTGTTCTTTTATAATTTTTTCGTTCGTTTGTTATAAATGGAAGGCCTTGTCTAAACAGGAATGGGCTTACAGAACTTAACATTCGCGTAAAGTTCCGTGAACTTTTGTTAGTGTCGACAGGGCTTTCACAAAAAATGTGCCCAACACGAGTAAACACGTCTCATACACCCCTCCCCTAGGGTGTGCCTTATTTTTGAATTTTCCGAAAATCAAGTTGGTCAACCCCTAAAAAGTTTCTATGTGGTTTCTAAATGAACCCCCTAAAAGGAAAAAATTTTAAAAAAATTTTAACCCGTGCCTCAAAGGGCCTAAAGGGCCTAAACCCAAAATTCAAAAATTTTGGCAAGCGACACATCAATTCTGAAGGAAAATGGCAAGTTACGGCCCTTTCAGGGATATGAAATCACTGAAGGTTTGATGCATCAATTAGAAAGTTTTATTCAATCGGTTCAATCTGGCTTCGCCAACTTACAGCTGATGTTGATTGCCTGGCCTCACCCATGGGGCTAAATGACACATTAGCCTCGTTTACTCAAATCTTCCCCAGTAGCCGAGTGGTCAAGGGCATTGCCCACGGTTATAAAGGGTGGGGTTCAAACCCTAAGTTAAATCATATTTTTTCGAGAAACTAATATTACATTTTTGATTATAGCAAGTAACTGTGGCGGGGGGGGGGGG